AAATGGTCAGATGAAGGATTCAACGTTCGGAAGGTCGAATGTTCAAGGTGTCTTATGTGCATATGGTTCAGTTGGCAGGTTAAGAACATAAGTGTAGTTGTTATTTTTTTTTTAGCTAGAATTGTTAATTTTAATCAACGTCTCAAACGAATGTCTGTAGTCAATACGCAGAGTACAAATAGGTTTATAGACGACAAATCACATGCCCTCCTCGATTAGAAGACTCTGAGGAGTGCTGGGGGCGGCTGGTTGAAACCAGTCGGGTGAAAGCCACAAGGACATCATTGTTTTTTTTTGGACATAAGTGGTGTTTGATAGACATACTTTTATCTCTGCATATTATCCCTTCATTCATCTCCCTAGTTTCATCCCATCTTCTACATACTGTTTATTTGTCGTCGTCTCCTTCTATTCATACTTCCATAATATTCTTGGTTTGCCCTTGGCAGTCTCTTGAATGTATAACATTGGCATGAACCTGATGCATCATTGGTTGTCACTATCATTCTATGCTCGTTCGATGGTGGACTAATTCCTTTAGTATATACTGAGTGATTGCATATCTACACAGTGAAAAAACATAAATTGCTCTTCTTCTCTTTTCCGCGCTCCGGCGGTTGGGAATTATTGGGTTGCTCCCTAGAGATCTGAGAGTTTATCCTTACGTTGGTTGCTTTTAGAGAATCAGAAATCACGAGTGTATCCTAGAAATTAGCGAGACCTAGCAATCAGAGTTTAACAAGATTTCGAATCCTAGTCTTATCGAAGTCAGAAGACCGCATCGATTGTGGGATGGTTGTGCAAAATTGACAGGAATACGTGAGAAAATATTAGGCTAGGTCTTTATGTTAAAAAAGGTTTTCGATAGATCTTTTTGTCAAGGTCCTTGATAATATTGCAGTCAGGATGGGTTCGGTCTCGAAAATGATCGCTAACCTCGTACATTTTTTTTTCGCTTTAGGAGTTCGTAGTCAATATCTGTTGGTTTGATATAAATCTAGTTAATATTGATCATTACTCCTCCTTTTCGACAGACCTACTTAGGCAATCAACACTAGCATTCCGACATTAGATGATGACAACCACCAACATGCCGTTTCAGAGAGTTTAGGGGTTCTTGGGAGTTGTGGAATGAAGGTGGGGCTCAAGGACGGGACGTGCATGAAGTAGCTACTTCTTATTTGACATCTCCCGATGTGAGTCTTTGGTGAGTTTTCGAGTAATCGCTGACATAGTGTCATTTGTGTGTATGTACTTTGTTATTGCCCTCGCAGAAGCACTTGATGACGGTCGGAGAGTCACTGGTCTGTTTTGGTGCTTAATACTCCAACATTATCGAGAGAGTGCTCCTACGACGAAAGAAGCCTTTAAAACATGGCGTCAAGTACTTGAATTCTCGGAACGAAGACGGAGGTAAATCTAGACCGGGAGGACGTTGAGTGTTGTTGTGTTATTCTTGCAAGCATTATGGGCACTACGTGAGAGTTGAGTAGCACACCGAAAGTGTTCGGACGTTTGCCAAACGTCCGAACACGTTCGACCGTTCGCCCGAACGGGAGCCGAACGCATTCGCACGAACGAATTCCTGAGGCCGGCGAACGCGTTCGTTTCGTGGGCGGTACCGAGCCTGTAGGGTCTGCGGGTCGTAGGGGGGGGGG